GTCGGCAAGAGGAATCCAAAAGGACTTGGACTGTAGTGTTTGGAATTGCAGGGATGCTGAGGGAATATTTCCAAACCAGAACGCGACAAGGGTGCCACCCCCCGCGCAAGATGACAAGGCAGCTCAGAGCCAGTCACTTCACACCACGCCAGCAGCATGCCCCCACGTGGGCGCACGTGGTCCTGCTCCCCAGCCTAGTATATATACCTCTTGTAACCCTCGAATGAGGGGATCCGAATTCACTCTCTTTAAACTCCCTTGTAAAAGCACCCGTGCATTCTCCGTTATAATATAAATCGGGCTACAGGTGTTCCACCTAAAGTCCTACCGGTCAATTTGCGTGTTTTTACCTTTCTTACTTTGCCAAATCAAGTGAACTATTCTAGACCCGGTCTAGTATAGTTTGACCGGTCAAGTAATTTACACCATCATTTTTGGCGCCATCCGTGGGACCGTTAAGGTTTCTTCTCCTAAACACAAACCTACCCACCAAAACACCACTCGAAATGTCTTCCAGCCAACAGATCAACGCTACTTCCGCTCAGGTGCAGGCCACCAACGAGGGAGCCAGCATCCCTGTGGCTGCTACCATACCGGTGATTTCGGCCCCGGTGTTGCCTCTGGGTCTGAGCTCTGTCCCGACGGCCAGCGTGATCGGTCCCTTTGTGACCCCCGTCCCTTCCGCTTGACCGAGGGTAACGTTCCCACCGAGCATGGCTCAGTTCATGAATGACCCAGCCAACCTACAAGCCATCCAGGGCTTTGGCCAGGTCATGACCATGTGCCAACAGAACGGGGGGATGCCTTTCCTCCCTGGTATGTTCCCATTCGCCCTTCCAGACGCGGGGACGATGCCTCTACAAGCTCCGATGGCGGTGACGTCGTTCCAGACGCCGATGCCGCAACCATCACCTTTCCAGCCCCAGCTGGTCAGCACCATGGCCCCGGTCAACTTGGTCGGTGCACTTAATGCTGCAGGGCCGTTGCGTCCCCCGCAAGCTACGGATCCACAGGTCACTTCTGATGGTCATTGCGTCTCGATTGAGAGCGATGACGGCGAGTGGGACATCCCGAGGGCCCACAAGAAGAAGAAAGGAAAAAACATCCGGCCAGCGACCTCCCGAAACTCCGTCTTCGAAAGGCTGGGGGATAGGGAGGAAGGCCAGAGGAAGTCGGCCAAGCAGAGGCTGGGGCAGAGTGTTGCCCATGTCAGCGCATTCACCCGGCTAGGCGAGGTGCGGGAGGCCGAGCCTGCCCGCACCCGGCGCTCCCGGTCTAACCGGCAGGAGCCAGCGAGGACGAGGGCCTCCCACCAGGAAGGGGAGGCAGAGAGCCAGCCCAGGTTACCGGTGGCGAACTGGTTAACCATCCCAAACGACCGCGTCCAGCAAATGGAGGCAAAGCTGGAAAGGCTGGAAAAGAAGGTTGGGGAGAAGAATGACCTGGACAAACCCCTAGCAGGGTCCCCGTTCACCACAAGGGTCCATCTGACACCTTTCCCGCGAAAGGTCAAGATCGACGCCCCCAGATTCACCGGGAAGGAAGATCCGGAGATCCACCTGGACTCCTTCAACCAGAGTGCGACCATGAACGGTTGCACCGATGAAGAAAAGTGCCTACTTTTCTTCCAGACCTTGCGGAACCGAGCCACTGAATGGTTCAATAAGCTTCGCCCGGGAAGCATTGACTCGTTCAGTGATTTGGCCTCAAAATTCAAGGCCAAGTTCCAGGAGAATTGTACAAAGAGGAAGAAGTTCACTTATCTTAGTACAGCCGGGCAGAGGAAGTCTGAGAACCTCACTCAGTTCCTTACCCGGTGGAAGGAAGAGGTAGACAAGGTGGAAGAGATGGATGACAAGACCGTCCTCTCCCTCCTCTTGAATGGCCTGCGTGCTGGGGAACTATACAAGGAGTTCTACCGGAAACCCCCAGCCACATACCAAGAGGCCTACCATACTGCATGGGAGTTTGCTGAAGCTGAAACCCAGCTCCGGGCAAAGAGAGAAGCTGAGCATGGTCACAAGCCCAAGCCGGTGCAAGTCAAGAAGGAAGAAGCACCGGGACCTAGCCGGCCGAGGCACCACTATGACCCGGTCATCCGAGTGGTCAATATAGAAGAATGCCAAGAAGTCCGGAAAGCACCGGTCATTCCTCCAGAAAACCCTACCGGTCAAGTAGGGCGGCAGTGGTCGGGCACCTATTGTTCGTACCACAGGTCTGATTCCCATAACACCTCCGAATGCAAGAGTGTTAGAGGGGTCATCCGGCAGATGATCGACAGTGGAGAGCTGGGCAAAGATTACTTATAGAAAGCCCAGGAGAAGAGTCATCAATGGGTTAGGCCAACTGCCCCAAAGAATGACCGTGACAACGACCGATGGAGGAATAACCGGCCAAGGGAGCGGCAACCTGCCCCCGAAAAAGAACACATCGGCATGATCTTCGGCGGACCCGAGGGTGGAGATTCAGCCGCGCAGCGGAAGAACTGGGTCCGGAGCATTTACGTGGGAGAAGTAAGTGCTGAACCGGCCAGGCAAAAACATACTAGGAGGGAGCCAATCATCTTTACTGACCGGGATCTCTGTTATATCCCCTAGTACTACACCTGATCCTCAAATCCTTAAACAAATCAGTGGAATCATGTCTAAGTGTTACGATCCTTTTTGGAATGAATTCTCCAACCCCAAACCATATTACTTAACCCTGACAACCTTGAGCCTATCTCCATCCTAAAAAGAGCCGTATACCCTGCCCAGACTACCCCACTCCCTACTTGAATCACTCCATCAAAATAACACGTTTTGTGCTAAAAGAAAAAACCATAAGTCAATTTCCTTTTCATTTCCCTAAGCTAGGGCCGAAACACACCAAGCCAAACAACCATATTTCATCACCCAACATCCCACAAACATTGTCCCCCCCTTGTCCCCTAGTACAACCAAAATAACAAGCACAACAAGCCAAGGGATATTTTTGATTACTTTGACCTTTAAACCACCATAAAAGCCACCCTATAAAAGCCATATTTCTCACACCCCACTGTCCCCCACGATGGCAGAATGAATCACTCCCCAACCACCAAATATTCACCTCACTAGCCAAGCCAAAATACCCAACACATCACCCATCCATTTTGCCCTCTAATATGGCCGAAAATCCCCTTCCATTCATGAATATTCATTCATGAATCCCTGTCCCCATTTTCCCTGATTTTATTCCATGAAAGGACTCAAGCACATGACTGCATTTTCTAGGATTTGTGGAAGAAATAGCTTAGTATTTTCCTTTGTATGAGTGCCTTTAAATTTCGGCCATAGGCCTATTGTAATGCTCAGATTTTTATTCTTCATTTCAAGATAGAAATACACTGGTTGTATTCTGTTTTCAAATCCTAATTTCTATATCTTAAGGTTGGTTTCCTTAAGTGTGAGTGTTAGGTTCTAGTTATTTAATTGAGTGTGTAATATCTTAATTAAATTCTAGACTCAAACCCCAAGTGAGGATAAGAGTGTGTTATATCTCTTAAAACCTACTTGGTTTTTATCCCTTTTCCCCTCTTATTTTCCCTTCCAAATTTTCGGCCCTCCTAAAAAGCACAACCAGTATCCCCCTTTTTCTCCCCTATTCTTATGCCTTTAAACCATCTTAAAAATCAACCCTTCATCCTCCTCCATATACTCGACCAGTCCACTCCCCTCCCTTTCCAAACCCAAGCTTAAATATATCA